TGAGGATATCGTGGTCGAAGACCTCTATCGGGTATCCTTTTTACAATACTAAAACTTTAATTTAAAGAATAGAATAGTAAAATAGTGCTTTAACATTTATATTGTAATTAGTTTTACTCAATTTTCCTAAAACATAAGAGTTGTTAATAGTTTTTTTTTGTTTGTTTATGTTTTAAATTTACTAATAGGTGTAATTTCTTTAGTGCAGAAAGATGGAACGACAATTTTCAGCTTACATTTTCCTTCATCTGTTTCGGAATGCGAGTTTGATTCTTGACAATTTTCTTTGCCGCACGAATTACGTGAGTCAGCTCCAAACTACTTTTTAATGCAGGAAAATCTTAACGTATTGCTTTCTATGTCGCAATCTATCCATTATGCATCACGTAAAGGTTCTACTCTAATGAGAGAGTTAAAAACATCTCTAGTTAATAAGAAATAACGAATATTCAATATTAATTAGAAATTTTGCTTATAAAAATATTTTGATTTATGCAACAAATTCAATTTATACTTTCGTCTGATATAAGTAAAAAGACACGTAAAGAGTTCGGGTATGAAAGAAATGCAATGATTTATATAATCTTGAAATTAACGCAATACTTCTAAAAAATTATTTTTTAAATATCTATTTAAATTGATTTACATTGTAAAAATTTTCAGCATTATAATTGAATCATTTCTCAAACACATTAGCATTTAAATCATAATCTCTATTTTCTAGATACTGTATATTTTCTGGTAATGTTTTCTTTGAAATTGAAATGACTAATAAAAATAAATACGATTATTATTAATACTTTCAATATCAACATCACAATAATTTATAAATGATGAATAATTTTACAATAAACGTAATCGATAATGAATAAAAATTATTATTATTATTATAAAATATTATTTCATTTTCAAAAAGCACAGGGGTTATTAAGCTTCAGAGAGAGTGAACAAAGTCGCGCCCCCCCACACACAGAAATAAACTCCGAATTTTTTGCATTTCTCGACGTTTCAAGGTGTCTTGAGTCCAAAAAATGTAAAATATTGGGGGGGTCATTTTTCGAACCATCGCCATACTTTTCCTCTGCTATATATAATAGCCTTCCGTCTGTTATATATAACAAAGAAAATATAAATGTTATTACAAGTTAAGGTTAATTTATTTCACGTATACATATACACACAAGTTGTATGGAATTTAGTTGCAGAAATCTTGCTGGTCATTTCATGAGACGAATATATTAACTATCAAGAAGATACAGAAATAAGGTTTTGGAACACCGTGTGAGACTTTCCCGAGGTACCGTGGACCCAGATTTCATTTTCATGGACGATAATTTTCGCGCACATAGAGCTATACATGTCATGACTGAAAATATTCTTAAAATAAAGAAATAGAAGAAAGACTTCTTTAGTGAGGACATATTTTTCTCAAATTTATTTTCATTTCATATAAGAAAGATTTATTTTTATTTTCTTTTGCAATGATCGGTGTGTAAATAACTGAAATTGAGGCAAGTATTTTCTGCTGCTCTATACTTAATCGAATTTTTATTTTAAGATTAAAACGAGGAACAGCTTATATAAAATCTAGCGTAATGTCTATTTTATTGACTTTGAAATGCTTCTTAGGGTTTTAAATTTTCTTACATTTTAAAGAAATTCTGATAAAAATATATTTTTCTTATTTTGATCCTGTTTCTCGTCTTTGAATAAAAGAGAGACTTCTAAAATTGGTGACATAAATTCATATTTAGGCTGCTGTAAACAAAAATAAATTAACATTAATTTTGTTAAGAACAAAGGCGGATCAAGAGCAAATAAGGAAGCAAGTTTTAAGAATTCACATAATGAAATAGTATAGGCTATAATTGATTACTTTAATAAAATAAACAAAATAATCTTAAACAATATAAAAAAAGAGTTGAAAAATAATGATAAAAAATATGAAAACAGAAACATTATAGTCAAGCACTTGTTAGAAAAAAAAATTAAACAGGGGCGATCACCTCTATCGTCTCCCTCTACACCCTCCCTGGTTTAGAATAATTTCTGATTTTTCAAATAAATCTATACAAACAGTCTTGTATTTTTACTATATATATGTATATGTATATATTTCTATTTTTAAAGTCATATACTGTGTTTAAAAAATTCAAATTTGTTAATTCTAATCAAAGTTTATTACTGCACGGTTATTGTAAATTTATTGTTAAAAATATTATAATGATACTAATAAACAAGAAAATGTCGATTATTCTAGAATTAAAATTTAAAGCAATGGAATGAAAAATGTTTTGCATGTTTCATCGCTTGATACTTCACCCATTAGTGATGACTGAAATTACACTGACACATTGGCAAAGGTTTTTTTTTTATAGTTTAATTTGAAATATTTCTTGCCATATTATAAAAAAACCCAACAAAAACAAAAACTACTATCTAAAGAAACTAATAAAATCAATAATATAATATGATTAACATTAATGTATTATCATTGGGCTGCAATTTGAAAAAAAAATTGTACACCTATAAATTCTCACTATCGCCCGTCCGCCTGTCATTCCTTAATATCGAGAACGGAATTAGATAGATGAAATCCGAGATCAGATATGGAAACCACAGGGGTAGGAGACCCCGATACACTATATAAGAATGAATGTCCGTTTTGTACTGGAAGTCACGTTACTTTAAATGTTTTCCATGAAAGGAATTAATTGATGACCAGCACGACTCTGTTGTTAAAGAAAAAGTATCATGTACGGAGTCTATGCTACTAATAATTTGAGGTATTTTTAAATTATTTAAAAATATGCTTAAAAATTGCAGCCCGGCATTGTGACGATGTTACAATAAATAATTGCTCGTTATTACTATGTTTGGTTCCAAAATTATAAAATTAAGGCATTATACAGTAAGTTATAATTTTTTAAATGTATTCACGATTTTCGCCAAACGTCACAATTTTTTTAATATTATAATTTACAGATTTATGTTAACTAATCTCAAACATGGTTTAGTTGCTTTAATAAAGGTAGGCCAACACGCGAAACAATTCGAGTTTCAAGATAACGGTTCATTTCTTATTTCCGAATATAATTTTTATTTGACGAATTTCGCATTTAATACATCAGAATAAAAAATATTATTATTATTCAGCAATTTTCGATTTTTTATCATTTTGTATGTGGCAACGCTTCCAGATCCTCACCCAAACATTTGCAGATTGTCGACCTTGATCTCAAGTATTCGTCGAATTCGACAAGAATGCGGTAAATTCGAATTATTAACAAATTATACTTACTTTTAACTCGGGTATAAAGTATTCTGGAGTTAAATTTTTAACATTTTACGCGAGAAATTGTATAAATTTATCTTTCTTCGGCTAACGTTTACATCGATGTAATAAAGTTGCAACACGTAACGTCATACGCGACGTCACAGGATATCGTGTTTACAAGTGACCTCATCAAAAATACTAAAATTTGTTTCTATATAGTTAATGTTTATTTACAAGTTTACAATTAAAGTTACAATTAAAGTTAAACAAATGCAAATTAAATTATGAAGAAAAATTAGATATAAGATTTAATAAATATTTTCTTGCAAATATATAAGGTAAACAAAATGTAAAATGTTCTCGAAGTGAATTGTTATATTATTTATTTTTAAAATATTAGAATATTTTCAAAATGTGTTTTTAACAGATGAAGTTTAAAAAATCTGCTTCCACTTGTTATCTTGTCTTGTATCCACTAGTTGGGCATGAACTTCTAGGCTGTATCGCCCGTAATAAAGTATGACGAATTGATCATGTGATAGCAGTTGTATACTTGGGTGATGGCTGTTACGCAGGAAATAATGCCTGCTGGGAGGTCTTTTTAAGGGTAACTGGTCTCTATTCAGACGTGGAGAAAACCCGAAAAATTCCATGGGGCCAGCCCGTCCGGGCGAGGGACGAATCCACGACCGAACTCCCACTGTTCAGGAAACGGAACCACTTGGCCACTGGTGGGTTTTTTTCTATTTGTTGCTTATTAAATATTATATTGTGCCATCTGTTGATTAAATTTTAAATTAATTTAAATAATACTTAAAGTAAAAGGAACAAACGCTTTAGAGAATTTATAAGTTTGAAATTATGATCATTTACAAGCAAGCAAGCCCGAAAAAAAAATAATAAATAAAATAAGTAAACAACATATAACAAAAAAGAAAAGCTCGAAAGAAAAAAAAACTACGCATATATACATACATATTGTTTATTAAACATAATACAGTGGTACCTCGGTATAAGTCTGCTTTANAGTCAAACCTCGATATAGCGCTATCTTACATATCGCCATCCTCATAGAATGCCAATAAATACTCACAAATGAATATTATATTGAGAATTAGCATTAAACGTTCACATTTTATATTATTTATTTTTAAAATATTAGAATATTTTCAAAATGTGTTTTTAACAGATGAAGTTTAAAAAATCTGCTTCCACTTGTTATCTTGTCTTGTATCCACTAGTTGGGCATGAACTTCTAGGCTGTATCGCCCGTAATAAAGTATGACGAATTGATCATGTGATAGCAGTTGTATACTTGGGTGATGGCTGTTACGCAGGAAATAATGCCTGCTGGGAGGTCTTTTTAAGGGTAACTGGTCTCTATTCAGACGTGGAGAAAACCCGAAAAATTCCATGGGGCCAGCCCGTCCGGGCGAGGGACGAATCCACGACCGAACTCCCACTGTTCAGGAAACGGAACCACTTGGCCACTGGTGGGTTTTTTTCTATTTGTTGCTTATTAAATATTATATTGTGCCATCTGTTGATTAAATTTTAAATTAATTTAAATAATACTTAAAGTAAAAGGAACAAACGCTTTAGAGAATTTATAAGTTGTATATTATTCCATCTCATATTTCAATCTAATCTAGACTATACAGATTGAGATGAAAACATCAAGTAAAAATTAAATTTTAAATTAATTTCAAATTAATGTATATCAATTGGTAAGAGGAAAATAATCAAAATGTGATAAAATATGCATATACTTTGAAAGATCTATGAAGAAATGTTCTTGATGATTTATATTTGTTTAAACCTGTGTAGAGAGAAATTAAAAAATAATTTTAGATAGCAATTAAATCTGCACAAGAAATTGATATTCAACTTTTTTGTTTTGTGAATCAATAATACCTGAAATCAAGAGAATTCAGAATTATTAGCCAATGACAGAATTTCTGAGAATAAATGATATTATAGCTATATATGGTTCCAATCATGTATTATTTTTGCAATAAAGTAACAAGGAAACTGTACAAATTATAAATATTTTCTGATTAATATAAAGTTTAGATATTTTAAGTAATTTCTTACTTTCGTCACTTCCTTTTCTGCTTCGAGCATAATCGGCATTGGTCGATTCTTCACACACAATTTTACTGTCTCTTACCTGTAATTATACATATATAAAATATTAATTATTTCACATGTTTGAATGCTACTTATTATATTAATAATATGCTTTGATATATATTTTGTAACAACCCATTAAATAAAAATTTGAATGAAGACTAATTCTCTGACATTTTATTTCCAATAATGATATAAATATCAAAAAATTTTCAAAATTTATGTAAAAAGAGATATATATGTGTGTGTGTTTTCATTTAAGTACATCAGATAAATTTTAAAAAATTCTAAAGCAGAATATTTTACAAATTTTTAGAAACCAAATCCAAGGTCAAGATCAGACCCTTATCATCATTTGTTTACAGTAGTATCAAAACATGTGGCTATAGCTAGCTTATTACAGGCAATTCAAACAGGCAAATTCTTGGTATACTTAATTATCATTGATGATTTCTTTCATTTAATTTCTGCTTTATTGTTGCTGAAAAATGTTTTAAATGTTCTTATTTACACTTCTCAATACAGGTACACAACTTCTTTGTAACAATTGTAACACAACAGAAAAACTTTTTATTTTCTTCACACAGTATGCAACACTCTAGCACCCGACACTCAACAAAGCATAACACTGACTCTCTACCAGACACACACTGGTCAGTACTGACCCACCATACACAGTTTCCTTTGTTCCCTTGTTTTAGGCAGGAAAATCTCACCCCCTATTCTTAAGGGATTACAAAAAAGACTCCTGAACACGAGACAATTTCTGTTTAGTTTTATATTACAAAACATCAAAATAAATTTATATCACAAATTAGATTCACACACAATCAAATGATAAATCAAATTTAATAGTTGATAAGTATTTCTTCCATTAGCATGATGTTTAGTATCCCTTTCTTATGAACTTATATACCAGCAAGTTTTCTTTGTGGAATTTTTTCATTTTGTGTTACTACTATTTGAAGCAACTTCATCTTTTTTATTTTCTTAGTTTTCAGTTAAAATATTTTGTTAACTTCCTGAGAATAATTTTTTTGTCATTCTATACATAAAAATTGATTTTACATTTAGTCTTTTTTGTTATAGCACATGTTCCTAATGCACAAATTTATTCATACATGAAAGATAAATAGGAAAATAAAATCACCAAATGCAAAATCTTAGCTATAAATAATTTTTTTAAACATAAATATGCTTTGTGTTCCTAAGGTATCATGAAAAATGATCTGCACATGAATATACAAAGCCCATGCACTGTATCTTCTCTCTTACCCCAGTTTACTAATGTGTAGAATGGTGTTATCCCAAGATTTATCAAGAAAAGTACACAAAGTATTAATACAGCATCCCTCCCAAAAAATGAGTAAATATCCTGGTTATAAGAATCAAGTAGTAGGCAAAAATAGGAAAGCTGTACATATTGAAAAAAAGCTTTAAATAAAAAAAATGCTTTCTAAGACTAGGTTTTCAATGTTCTGCCCCTAATTTTATCACTATTAGCTCTGTTACTTTTATTGCAGAAAATTCTACAGAGTAATGATTTTTTTTAAATACATTTACTGCATTATAAGAGAAATGGCTATATATAAAATAGAAATTATAACTAACCTGGAAATCTTCAAGAGTTATGTGGTCCTGTGATAATGTGGCAGTAAAGAAGAAAGCTCTACCATTATTACTAAGTAATTTTTGTAAACCTATCACTTCTTTTGGTTTATCAGTTGAACCAGCAATTAAACTCTCTCTTCTCACTTTAAAGAACATAAAATATGTTAATCTATCATTTATTATATTTTCAATTTTTATTTTAACTTATCTTTTACCTGCACATGCTCTTTGGTTCCAATTCCTTCTTTTTTGAAAACAAAAAAATAACAAAATATTAACAATTACTAATAAACCTCCAACAGCAGCTGCTGTGATCCACCATAACTGGATATTCTTTTTTCCTCCAGTTCTAGATTTATCAATTGTTGTATTCAAGATAGGAAAACCTGTAAAATATTTATACAACCATTAGTGTGGTATATTAATTATGTAGTTTAGTTTAAAGTGTACCACGGTATTATAGCAATAAGATACTCAAAAGTTTTTATTATTTTTATATAAAAAGTATTTATGTTTTCATCAATAAAATTCATTAAATCATTAGTAACAAAAAAATTAATAAGTTCCATAAAATAAAACCAACTTTCCCTTACAAATTTCTTAATTTATTATGTATCATCATAGGAAAATAATTTATAAACAAATTAATCTATTCTGGTAATTTTTTTATTTAGATTACTGTAAATGAAAAAGCAGACAAATATTAATGTGTTTTATTGCTTTTATCTTGTACTGTACTATTAAAAATAAATTTATTACTAACTAGCTGTTACCCGTGGCTTCACCTGCATGGAATTTGCAATTTGATAGAAATAACCCTCCCTCAATACTTCACTAAGATTCTCAACATTAGTTGTTACTATAAAAACAAAAAAAATCACATCTAAAATAGTATAGTAGAAGACGTTCTTCAGGTTAAGAGTTAATCCTCTCCCCCCACAGGAAAATTTCGAAAAATCTCTTCTTAGTATGCATTTTCATGATGTACCCTAACTGTGTACTAAATTTCATCTCTTTAGGTTCAGTAGTTTGCTCTGGGTGATGATGAACCAGTCACGACATGTAATTTTGTATATCACAAGTTTGGACATGTGCACCGTGTATCTCGCCAGCACGTGACCGCGCCATGCAGTTACCTATCGCCACCCGCTGACACTAAAAATATAAAGCTTACCTAGATGATATCTTTTAATTTATATAAATGTTTAATGGAATAATATACAGCCTATGNTTCAATAACTAATATTTGTATTTTCTTATAATATGTAAAAGTAATAATATAGCAATTGACTATAAAGATAATCATTTTAAATTGAAACATAAATTACCAGTGAATTAAATAAAGCAATTGAATTTGGTAACTGAATTGAAAAGCCATTTAAAAATGAATAAAATTGAGGAAGTTACCTTTCTGGTGTTATAATTATAATGACTTTTAAAACAGAGTATTTTAAAACAGAAGAAAATATGAAAACAATTTAGTTTTTCGTCTGTAACAAAGTGATGTAACAGGTTATCTTATCAATTATAAGAGAAAATACTAGGACAAAGTATCAGTCAAATCTCGACAATATCGTTGTAAGACGAATGAATTAACAAATTTTAATTTAAATAATTTATATTCTGGTTTTATATTACACTATACAAATCTAGTACCTGCACTTTTTGGATAAATTCCTTATTTAAATAAAGTTTTAACAAGTCTTAGAAAAGAAATTGTCACACGATAAAACCATTTTCTCTGATCTTAATCCAGAAAAAAAATTAATTTGTGTTTTAATACAGCTATAAATTTTGTTACCTGTCGAGATTAAATTGCAGTTGGAATTTTGGCACTCGACTTTGAATGTTTTATTTTATGTTACGTTATTGTATTCAATTATGAATTTACAAATAATGACATGAAATATATTATGAAATTATAACACGTAAAATTTTGTATAATTACTTTCACTAATCACGCTGCGATCGCAAATTTCTTAAAATGTTCAAGAAAATTATACTTATTTTATTTGGTGTAGGTTTTATATATTGTTTATATATGTAATATATAGTATATAATCATACTTTATATAATCATACCCTATATAATTATACTTTTTTACTTTAATTAACACAATAGAATACAATAGATACAATCAAGTATCTTGTGTGCATGAAATTGTTCTTTAATTACGACCGTCTCTATTAAAAAAAGCTGACGTCTATATTGTGTAAACTGGATATCGATATGGAAGTGACTTTTATTATGTAAACAATTGTTATTATCTATAAAATAACTACATATTACTTTAATAAGCGATTATGCAGTATTTATTTTTTAAAGCTTTAATTAACTTACTACAATGAATAAACTAAAAATTGGAAAACTTTGCTCTATAATTCTAATTATTTTTAAGACGTTTTATTATGTTCATTTCATACAATCATAGATATTTTCGTAATTTGTATTGCTCTAAACATTAGCTTGAAACTGTACATACTTCAATCATCTAACTCAATTGAATATCCGCATTTATCGTAATGTTTTATCTGGAAATATTCTTGATAGATAAATTATTTAAAACTTTTAATTTAAGCTTTAAATAAAATATATTCAATGATTTCATTTATTCTAATTTTATTCGATTATTTAATGAAAAAAATATTGTAGAAACTTTCTGTATATTTTTTATTAAAACTTTTTTATCATAATTGTTTGGCAAATAAAATTTTTATTATGCACTTCTAAATTAAAATGAAATCTATTCATTAACTTGAAGTTAGAGTTATGTGCAAGAAATTAAATTAGTCTTATTTAGTCCATAAGTTTAAACTGTCCATTTATTTGTATACTTTAAATATCAAATGAACAGCCGGATTCTTTTATCGGGCTACGAAGGCTAAATAATTACTAAGCAATTAAATATAATAATTATAATTGTCCCGTTTATTTGTTTATATATAAAGAAGACTTAACAATTGTTAACTACAGATGTTTATATTTTCAAAATTTATAGTAAAAGATAGAAAAATAATTCAAAATTAGAGATAACAACATAATTTTATTTTTTAAAAGATTATTTATTTCTATGCGAAATAGTAAACGTGTCAATAGTTTAAACAAATATGGAAGATATTAAATTTCTCTGTAATTCCGGGCTTGACTATTCCTTTGGTGCATGCAATAAGGTGAAAGTTTCGTGTGCAGCAAACAACTTATCATCGAGTGAGGATAAGTAAGTGCTTGCTTTCCTATGATGATATATAAAGACGATAGATAATTATCCTAAATGCCTTTTATAATGAAGATATGGAAGAAAAACAGAAACGAATTATCTCTTTTTTTCTCTCTCCTGCTGTGAAAAATTGTGATTCTTGAAATTTTCTGTAAAAAAAAAATATTATTAGTAGTAATATTTATTTCAAATTAAATTTGTTAATAACTTTCAAAATATTAAAAGAAATTACAATTTATGGAAGCTTCTTTTTCTCTTCGTTTCTACTTGATATCGCTATCTGTTCTGATTGTCAGAAAAGTAATTTTAAAATTAAATATTGCAAAGAAACGGCAATATAATAATTAAATATAATAATTATTATTTGTCTATATGCTTTTCACATGTTGACCTATGAGTTATTTTATTATTGACATGACAAATAAGTTGTATTATTATGAACATTATATGCGATTGTTTATAGTAATCATTAGAATTAAGTCAATAAAAATTAACGAAATTATTATATGAATAACAATGTAATATTATATTATCTACGGTTGAGAAAGATTGAAGAAACTTTCGATTTTTTTAAAGTTTTGTTTTTAAGAATATTGTACAATATAAGAGAAAATTGATCTATAAGTAGTATTTCGTACTTAAACGATGTTAATAATGAACGAGAAACACTGTAATTTTAAATACACTATTATTGAGTTGCAATTTGAAAAAAATTGTAGCCCTATAAACTCCCACTGTCTGTCTGTCTTTCCTTATTCTCGATAACGGTGTTACATAAATGGGAATATCTAAGGAATATCAAAGGTTTCCATATTCGGATATGGAAACCTTCGAATATAGTTAATCGGGGAAAGATGCCCCGATTAACTATATTTAAACTTCTGATGCAAACTGGAAGTCACGTTATTTCAATTCAAAAAGCTTACCCTGAAAGGAATTAATAGATGACCGACACGACTTTATTGTTAAAGGAAAAGTATGATGTACAGGAGCAAGTCACTACTAATTTGAGGTGGAGAGCATATATTTTAAATGAAATAAATTAAAAATATGGTTAAAAATTGCAGCCCGGCATTGTAACGATATCATAATAAATAATTTCTCGCTAAATATAAGATTTTAACACATACGTAGTTTACTAGCGTTAATAATGCATTTATTTAAAATAATCCTACAATATACGAATAAGCTAATTAGATTTGATAAATCTGAAAACATTAGAAAAGTAAATTTAAAAAAAAAACATACTTATATAGTATAATATTATTTTAAATATAAGTTCAAGATCATTATTAAGTAAATGTAGAAATATTCCATGTTTTTAGAATTCAGAATATTAAATTCAATAACTAATATTTGTATTTTCTTATAATATGTGGTAAATAAGAATAAGTTGGTGAAAAAGTTCTGGAAGCTGCAATTGTGAAAATAAATTTTATTTAAAAAACTGACTGAACTGGTGTTTTGTATCATACAAAATAACAAAATATCGAGCAAAATAATAGTGTTTTGAGAAAAACAATTTGAAAAAAAGAATTATAATTTTCTGCTAATTCACGATCTCATCCACCCTTAGAGGTGTGAGTTAGTTGGTGAACGACATATTGATAAGCAGTTTACTATAGTCTCCGTTATTTTTGACCGATTGCAAGTTAGACTCATTATTCAAGCTTTTATAGTATTATATACATGAAATAAAAATCGCCCGCTAATCATAACTTAAGATTTTAGAGGCTACAGTAAATATAAGCATGAGTAAAATGTTCTGCAAGTCAGAAACAGAAACATTTCATTTTTTCACTTATTTTTACAGCGATTGCGCGTAAGCAGCGCACGCAGCAAGCATGGATTTTGGCTATACAATACAGGGTGTCCCAAAAAATGTATACACACTATAACAGCTGATAGCTTAATTGACTTTTTTTTATTATTTCTAGGTTAAACCCATTATAATTAATAATGGAAGTCAGACTAAGCTTTGAACAAAGGAAATTCATTCTAAAAGCTACTGAAAGTGTGAAAACGCAGACAGTTTAGGAGGGAGTTTCAAACAGATCCACCAACGCGACTTACCATCACTCGAATTAGAGATAAGTTTGAAGATGGGGCACTCCCGCACTACCATCACGATGTTAGATCTTACCGCGATGAGATCTTGCCAAACTGGTGGATTGGACGAAGGGGTTTCTTAGAATACCTTCCACGTTCACCAAACCTCACACCACTTAGACTTTTTTAATAGAGATACTTAAAAGACAAAGTCTGCACTACGAAACCTGCAACAGGTGCCGAATTGAGAGCAGACATTGAACGAGAATGCGCACAAATACCAAATGAAATGTTTCGTGATGTTTGCGATTCCATTGCTTCGCGTTGTCAGCAGTGCCTGGACCAGAACGGAAGTCAGTTTGAAAACAGAAGTTGACAAAACAACTAAATAATGTCTATAGATTCTATTACACTTTGAAAATTAAATGTATTTTAGTTAATAAACACCGACTTTATAATTATTTAAAGTGTGTATACATTTTTTGGGACACCCTGTATATTANAATATTTTAAGTACCTGAAAATTAGAACAATAAAATATTGACGCTTGACACGAACAGACAATATTAAACAGAAACTTTCCTATTATTATAAGCTTATATCATACACAAGGTGTATGATAAATGGCCTTGTGTATGAATTTAGGCAGTTAGTTAATAAACACCGACTTTATAATTATTTAAAGTGTGTATACATTTTTTGGGACACCCTGTATATTAATACGAATCGCTACTTTTTAGTTTATACAGTAATTATACGTGTTCATCATCTAACCTGGTTTGACATCTCACTATCATTTATCCTAAATATAATCTATAATTTTCTATGGAAATTTTTCGAAACAAAATTACGAAATAATGCAAGGAGTTCGACAGTTTACATTACTTAATTTATCTAATATTCGTTATGTATTTATATATCTAAAATATAAAAATAGACATTAATTTATATAAAACAAAAACTATGTAATGACAAATATTTTTATATTTTTTTTAAAAACTCAATTTATATCATCTTATATGCTACATTATATTTTTCTATAAATATGTTAAAATATTTTAGGGCAAGCTTTACTTTAGCTTTACTTTAGAAGGTTTTCAACTACATGTAGGAAATGATCGTTAGTTCGAAATTCAAGGGACGAAATAATCGCGACTTCGAATTATCCGAGATTTACATATTTCTGTGCAATATGCCAAATTCCACGTATCTGATGTAATTTATTAAGAAAACGGAATACGGCTCTGTATACAGAACTCTGTTTTCGTTCATTAAAAATTATGAATATTTCTCCGTGCAACTGCTTTATCTTATACGAATTCTCGCTAAGTTTAAATAAGTTTATATTAACTCGTAGGTAAACATATGAATAGCAACATTAATAAACCTCACTAATCATTTTTAATCAAAATTACGTTTCTTTGCTGGATTAAAAAGATTTTCTTTGTTAGGTTTCATGCTGTAAATCATGTTTTTTTCTTGAGAAAGTAATTCTGGATACTCCTTCAAACTATCAATTAAAGCGGAAGAGATGATATCTACAAATTATAAAAATAACTATGATTAATTTATGAGGAACGTAAACATATATAAATAAAAAATTTATTTATTTACCAAGAATTTTTTTCTTGACGANTTAATAAATATTTCCTATTATACACGTTTTTGTGTCGTAAAAAATTTTGAAAATGTGTCAGAGGGAGCACTCGGTGTGATAAACTCTTACGTAATATAACCTTTGTAGTTATATAAATCAAATACTATAATATAATAAATATTAAAACGAAAACCATATAAAGAGTTTGGCTTTTTAGCCTGCCATTGTCAAGTTTATCACGATACCGGAACGGTATGAAATGGCACAATTTCATTGTCAAGTAGTCACCAATTGAAAATGTGGTATCTTAAATTTTTTCTGTACTTCTAAGAATGTTACCTCTAAGAAACTGTTCCATTTACAGCCGAATATCAAATGGTCATCTGACAACGAATCAAAATTTCGCGAAAAACGAACCAAATATTTAAACTCGGCACCCTGGAAAACCAGTTAATTAAATCATATTTTGTGCAGGCCAGTAACTTCGTATTTTGGATTTTCCAATTCCAATGCCACCATACCGCTGGTCCGATAGATATTCGGGACCGTTGCGGAAGGGGGTCGAAGTAATTCGAGCAAAAGTAGTCGTCGACCTCCTCCTCGAAGAGAGAATGGTCAGCCACTAATTAATACAGGTCTACTATTAATATTTGAAAAGTGATCCGTGTTGGAAAGATCATGACGGCTCCGCACGTGATCGAGTGCTAACCATAATGTCTGAAAGACTTCGTACAACTTGTTTAAATAAAAAAAGAAACCTTGTACATGGTAAAACTGTGAGAATAATTGCTTTTATGTTATACCTACGCAAAAACACCTTATCTCACTGAAAATTATTTATTAACCGTAACGAACGTTTTCAACCTTTAACCAACGTTTTTTATCTTGTTATTTTAAATTGTGTAGTACAGGAATAAATTATTTTAAAAATATATTAGACTGATCACTCGGTGCGATAAACACTTATATAATATAATAAATATTAAAACAAAAACCATATAAAGAGGTTGGTTTTTTAGTTCACCATAGTCACGTTTACCACGATACTCGAACGATACGAAATGGCACAATTTCATTGATCAAGTAGACACCAATTGAAAATGTGGTATCTTAAATTTTTTCTAACGTTACCTCTAAGAAACTGTTCCATTCACAGCCGAATATCAAACGGTCATCTGACAACGAATCAAATTTCGCGAAAAACGGACAAAATATTTAAACTGGGCACCTCGAAAACCACTTAAAACATTTTGTGCAGCCCAGTAACCTCGTATTTTGGATTTTGTAATTCCAATGCCACTATACCGCTTGTCCGATAGCAAGAAAGGACAGTTGCGAAAGGGGTCGAAGTAATTCGGGCGAAAGTAGTCGTTGAACTTACTGCTAATTAATACTGGTCTACTATTAGTATTTGAAAAGTGATCCGTGTTAGACGGGTTATGATGGATCCGCTTGTGATCGAAGTTGCTAACCTTAATGTTCGAAAGACTTCGTATGACTTGTTTAAATAAAAAAAATCTTGTAAAACTGTGAGAATAATTGCTTCTATGTTATATAACGCAAAATCACCTTATCTCACTGAAATTTATTTATTAACCGTAACGAANTAGTCAATATTATAAATTAATTCGAGCAAATTATAATAAATTAATTAATTACTTTCTATCAATCTGTCATTCTAGTTCAATCAGTTGTGTTCTACATTTTATTTTCTACGTTTCCATATTGATATAGCCTACGCTTACAATAAAACATGATTCTTACTATTTGATTCTAATCATAACAAATATATTAATTAGATTAAAAAATACTGATATAACTTTTTCACTGAATACAATATTGTCGAAAGAAATTATTTCTTGAAACCAAGATATGAACAGATTAAAATCGCAAATTCGTAATCAATTCTATTAATCATGTCACATTTCGTTATTTACTTACTTATAGGTTAGATGATTTGTCATCGAATTTTTATTTATTATGTTTTTTCAAAAAAATAAAAGTTGAAAATTTTCCGTTTCTATTATTCATTCATTTGGAGCCTTAAAAACCAATTAAGAAATTGTTCCATAATCCTGGAATCATAGGAATTACATTGATCTTTCACAGAAGCATGGCACTGAGTAAAGATGCTCTGGATTTTCATCTCGTACATGAATGATGTACGAGGTGAAAATCCAGAACATTCTCCCTCTAAAGCAACGCATCTTGGAGCATGCCAGCAATTCCGGTTATGTGATTCAAAAGAGTGCCGACAGAATCGTCTTCAGCTATTTATAACAATGGATACTAAATGCATTTTGTATTGCATTTTTCTTTTATAGTTCCGAACTTATGAGACAACTATATTTTTCATATGTTTTAGCTTTTATACTTTCTGTAATATTTTTCATATTATATCTTTACTAAGCTAAGTTTTTCATATAGTCTATTAACTAAGTTTATTATATATTATTCATATTAATATAAACCAAGTTGTTTCATATATTCTGAGATATTAACGCGAATCGTATTCAGTTTCCGTCTTTATCTGTTGTCTAACAAATCTAGGTAAAAATATCCCAATATAATCAATTATATTATATACAATTACGTAGTATATTATCAAATCAACTCCATTGGCAATTTAGTAGTTATGAAATAAAAATATAAATTTTAATGAAGTAGAGGAGAAGGTGGTATTATGGAACACTGCGGGTATTATGGAACCACCCCATTTCGAACTGATATTAAAGGCGAACTGTAGGGGAATGTGGCTGAACTGAACTAGGCAGACATCCATAGCAAGGGGAAAACCCATTTTACTTCAGTTAAACGGTTGTCCGTATTTAATCAGCAAATTTGTTTTTTTCAAAATTCACAAGTTTTGAATGCTAAGTGAATTTAATTATTTTTAAAATATAAATCGTGTAGTTGTAGGTTCACTGGTGCATGTATTCCGTTCCAGAGACTTAGGGGTACATATTAATCTGTGTGATGTTCACGTTTTTTAAATTTTGGTCTTGACAGACATAAGTTAATTCGAGATGGCGATGCGTGAAATACGGACCCCATTGGTGCTTTTACAGTAATATGGAACTCAACTCCTCCGAACTTTCTATTTGCAAGCAGACATTCCTCCAGAGCAATTTGTGAAAAAGACACTAGGTAGAAAGCCAATTCTTCCTGAGAATATCGAAAAAGAGCTGCTGGAATATATATTGTTGATGGAGGTCATATTTTTCTATTATAAAAGCATTTTTGCGATAAAATACATTGGAGTAAATAATTTTGTAATTATTTAACATTTTTTGTCCTTTCCTATTTGTTTTTGGCTACATTAAAGCATTTTTTTGAAAATATACAGTAAGGTTCCATATTACCACCCGATTTTCTCTAAGCCTACTTTCGGACTTTTTGTACAAAAGCCTTCAAAAACCATACTTATAATTACACTAGCGAAAAATCCAATTAGGAACACTTAGTTTACTAGTTACCAGTACTTTTCGCACAAAAAATGTGGATGTAGTTATGATACCTTGTTTACAATTCACTAAAATGTAATTGGGGTTCCATAATACCACCTTCTCCTCTAACTATTAATAAAATTGATTAAAAATTATCGGAATTTAAACGTATTTGGTTGCCTTCATCAGTGTAACCAATCGTTCTTCCGTTACAAAAATTAATGTTGACGATCTACATCCTGGCGATAAGGACTGATATCCTGAAAAATTTGACCGTAAAATACGATGTAAATGATTACATTAAGGATATACATTGCAAAAATAAAAGCGAAAGGTGAACTGGAAAAATGTCGATGAACTGAAAAAAAAAACATAAAATAAATAAAATATAAATGATAGAATTTCTAGCGAGTATCGCAAGCACGAAAGTATTTCTAACTTAAGCTGAATACTGTGTTACATTTCGAAGCTGCTTTAGAAGAAGAATCTTCAGGTGGTTACAACTTCTTTAATTAAAAGGTTAATATAACTATAATAAAATGAAAATTCTAAACTATTTTTATGAAATAATTATGATTTTAATTATAAATAAGAAATAATATTTTATTGCTGACATATATTAAGTTATAAAAAGTTTAATTTCTTTCAATAAATACTTTATAAAATTAAAAAATGAATTAAGTTATAAAATCAATAAACACAGACTTTATAAAATTAGGATTACAGATAAAACTTTTAAAATATAACTCATAAGACTTTGCCGCTGATTATTTGATGATATCGTAAAAATTATATTATTTATTTATTGAATTTTTTTTTTTGCCGAGAGGTGGCGTAAGCAGGAGTTAGTCTGCTGATGGAGGGAACTCAGTTTTTGTATCTTTTCTTGCTTTCAGGAGTTACCGTTTGAATGTTGTAAATGAATAACACGTACACGCATTTTGTAATTGTTTATTGTATCTGTGCAAAATGTTGTAAGTGTAGTAAAGTCTGTGTCTAGAAAAATCAGAGTCGTTAAAGGTTGTTTTAATGTCCCGAATAATTCAGATGGTGGATTCTTCAACACCTCTTCCGAGTGTCCCAAGCACCAGGCACGTTTTATTAAGTGAAGTCCGGGAAATGCGAAGGTCATTCCATGCGCTGGATACCCTCACTCTCCAGTACTTCGACAACTCGAGCATTCCTTCATGGGTCGACAGCTAATTGTTCAGGAGTAATAGTTATGTTTCTTTTTGCTGAAAAGGGATAAATAGCGATCCTCTAGGGCTGTTGTGCAGCTACCATCATGTAACGCCGTTCCTCTGGACTCGGTAGTTTTTCAACCGAGAAATCACACTCTGACATACCCATTGCTGTAGTAACTTCAGTGACACTTTTGTCCGCCTCAACACGTCCAACTGTTCGTCCGTGATCATATGTGATCAAAGGACATCGTTGAGGCATCTTCAACAAATATTTGCTTACAATTGAAATATTCTACTGAAACTTGACGTTACTATCTTCGAACCTCCATTATGTGTTATTCCTACAGACGTTAATTTTACGCACTGAGAACAATTGTTATGCAAATTGTAGTGATTGCACAACATTGC